TTTCTCAGGAATTATTGTTTTTATGAACTGACAATGAAAGTCAGAAAAGCTTACGTCATAAAAGCTGAGTTCGACAGATGACTCAGTAAATAACTGATCGTCAGTCTCACAATTGTTTGGTTCCAACAAACTGCTTTCTGTATATTCTTCTATATAAAAAGATTTAAAAATTTTAGAAATCATTTTGTTATAATTTTCAAAATCACAAAAAGTATTTCAATGATTTTTGTAATTTCAAAATTCAAACTGATAATGAAAAATTGGCTTTCAGCACTATTTGTAGAAAAAATTTTAAACTCAATTCTGCTATGTAAAATTCGAGCAAAAAAAATAAATACCTGCACTGCAAAAATATTCATTACTAGGAACTGAAACTCTTTTTCGAAGAGGTAATCGTTTACAAGGACGTAACCACTGCTCCGTCTGAATAATCTCCGGTTCTGAACTGTAAAAACAGTCATGTAAGATGCTACTGAATAAGAAAAAAAATGCAGCTTTCAAATTTAAAAAGAATCATCTGCTAAATTACGCGTGAATTTCAAACACAAGACGAAAATACAAACTTTCGTGGGCGCTTCGGAATCCAAATGCTTTCTATATCTGTTTCATAACTTCGTGCACAATTGCTCATTTCCTGAAAAATATTCAAAAAGTACTCGCTAAGAAATAGCAAAATGTTTTACAGTAAATACTTGCCTTATTTTCAGCCCAACATTCATCTAACTGAGAAGACTGAGTCATTCCACATCTAAAAAAATGCAACTGTGAAGTTTTTTCCTTGTTCAACTGATGAACATCATATACAATAAAATTACTTTCTGCTGACTGAAACTAATTTGAATGCAGGCTACTCTAAATGAAGGAAATTTCAAAAAAGTTGACATTCTTTATTTGAATAAAAGAAGATTCGATAAATTTACGTCGTAAAGTCCCTAGTGGAATTAGATGCTTGTGATGAATTTTTTGATGAGACAGCCGAATGACAATGCTGTTCGAAATTTCTCAAATCACTGTCGCAACTAAGAATCGAAGCAGTTCCGGTTTCAAAATCTTTCGATGACCTGTCAAATAAATCATCGCTACCAGATGACTAAAAAATTTTATAATTAGTGTAGTTCAGTTTACATGTACTGTGGAAGTATACACTTATTAGCCTTCATAATATTTTAAGAAAAAAAAATCACCAAATCTTTTGATGATACAGGCTATATGAATAAAATCACAAAAAAATTAATCGTCTTATTGGGTTTAAAAATTTCAAGAAAAAAGGAAATTTAATCGATTCATTAGATTTCGAAAATTTCAAAAACTATTATTGCACCTGTCGACTAAATTCTTTCGAATCCTTTCTCAATTTAATAAATTCGATGCGAGAAGGTCCAGGAGCCTCTGTATTCAAGCTAAAACTATCTTCATCACTGCTGCTATCACTGTCATTGAAATCACTTTTTATCAAATCTGAATAAAAATACCGCTTAAAGACAGAATGTATCGTATATGAAGGATATTATGAAGACGGAAAATAAAAAATGACTAGTATGTAGCTATTTTGAAACTCTTTTTAGGAAATTGTCAAGGACAAATAATGGTTTAAAACGAATGAAAAATAAACAAAAACAGCATACTTACTAGATTCAATTAAACACTTATTTTCCAATTACAAAGATTAAAATGAATTCTACAATATCAAATATTATAGTTTAATATAAAGTTCTTTAAACATCGCATTTTTGAAAAGAAAACATGAGCAAATGCTTTCGATACAATGGAATTCATACATTACCTGTATCATTTGAAGCTGATACTGACTTACAAAGTTCTGTCACTTTCGTGTTCAAATCAACATCCTGCAATTATAAACTATATCAATTTCATCATTAATCGCGTTTACATCTATTTATAAAATGCAGAAAATTTCCAGCCCCTTAACCTCCTCAAATTCCTGCTCATTAATTTCTTCCCCATCTTCTACGACATCGTCATCAAAAAATAATACTTCATCGAAAATATTGATGTCAGTTTCGAAATTGTCATTTTGAAAATCGTTCGCTTTTTCAACAGTACTAGGACCTGTAATGGACAGCAGATATTGAAAAATTCTTTGATATAACGTTATGATGGCGTAAGCAAGAAACAAAAGCTATCCCTACCTAATGGAACACTGAAAACATCCTGTTCCAGAGCACTGCAAGAAGAGTTAGAAGAAATGCTTTTTATATAAGTATGAAGATGTCGTATATGATTTTGTTCATTTTCAGTTTCCGGGTATGGCCTTTCTTCTAAAAAACATTTCGTAAAAGAAAGACATGAATACAAAAGTAAAGTTTCTACAAACAGTGCTCGCGACACATTTGTGAATACTTCACAACTTTTGCAGCTAATAGTAAAAAAACTTCTGGTGATTGCTAAGAAGAGATTATTACTTACATTCAATAACAATTTTTAAAAAACCTGAAATTTATAGAATAACTTCCTCGCACTTGATAAAAAAGATATTCTAAAAAGCCGCGTTTGGCAAAAAATTAACATTTTAAACGATATTCGAAGGAAATGGTGTTGTTTAAATATTCATCAAAGAAATTTTTCAATAATGTTTTACTTGCCTGCGTACAAAACATTAAAAAAGTACTTTGTGAAGATTCGTAGCACAATTTTTCACCTCTTCTTTCGCAGCGCTGCTTTTCGTCTTGCCATATATAATTTAGCCCTGGATTGGAAGAAATTGCTGAAAAATTAATAAGTGTGAAGTATGCAAAAAAATTTTCTAAATATCAGCATAGAAACTATTGTTTGAAAAGCAACGAAAAAACTAGCTTCAATATAACTACCTTAAATATAACAACTTCTTCCTGATAATGCATTTAATATATTTTAAAAAGAGATAACCTTTTTGAGAATTCAATAGTCTGTTGTTAATATTACTGGCAAAAACGTCACATTCAACAGTAAGGACAGTCGAAGGTAAAACTGGAGAAATGAGATCCATACTAAACATGTTTCGCATGAAAGGCAGTGCAATTCCGGAATTTTTTAATGCATGAATGTTTAATGAAGAAAAAGTGCCATTTTGATAATCATGCAAATATCATAAACATCTGACTTTTATGACAGTTCTGTTATAAAATGTAATGAATAACTAGTGCGAAAGAAAAAATTCGGAAGAAAACATTTATTATTAATCCTTTACTTATTAACTAAAACTTCCTACTTGTTTACGATATCTCCAACTTTCAGATCGCGATAGTATAGATCTGAAAATAGAAATCTTGTATTCATCATGCAGTAATATTAAGAATTCCTAAACTTGAAGCAGACCAATACTGCATGGTTGAGAACTATATATTTTACTACGCAAATACTGATAAGACTTTACCAAAGCGAAAATAATGAGAACTATTTATAGATATTACTTTTCGAGTTTGAAATATAAATATACATCAAAAAACTGTAATTGGAAGACAATTAACAAAATTGCGTAATTTTTCATACAGCAGTAAAAC